TCCCAGGCCTTGCTCAAAATCTTGATTACAAGTACAAGAAGCTCAGAGGACCCTGGGAGATTCAACGCAAACAGGAAGAGTCACCGATATGCAGTCATCAGACTGACCAAAGTATCAACTAAAGAGGCCCTTCTAGAGCTGTAAGACAAAAGAAGCAAGTAACATATAAGGGAAAGCCAATTCGAATAACATCAGACTTCTCTAATGAGAGTTTACAAGCAAGGAGAGACTGGGGCCCCATTCTCACTCTTTTGAAACAAAACAATGCCCAGCCTAGAATATTATTCCTGCAAAACTAAGCTTCGTGTATGAAGGAGAAATAAAAAACTTCTCAGACAAGCAAAGCTCAGAGAATTCACCAAGACAAGACCAGCCTACAAGAAGTACTTAAAAGGCGTTATGCATGGAACATCATAATAATAACCCACGAATATAAAAACACAAAAACCCAAAGATATTAAAGGCCAATATTACAATGGCTCAAGACAGAAATCATAGCACAACATCCAACCAACAGAATGATCAGTAATCTACCTTACCTATCATTCTCTCAATAAATGTGAATGGCTTAAACACTCCACTCAAGAGACATAGGCTGGCTGAATGGATAAGAAAATACATGCCAAGTATATGCTGTCTTCAGGAAACACATCTACCTGCAAGGAGCATATAGACTAAAATAAAGGGGGTGAGTCAAATTTCCAAGAATAGAAGCCAAAAGAAGGTGGTGTGGCAGTTCTAATTTCAGACGATTAGTTTTAAACCAACAAAAGTAGTAAAGACAAAAGAGGGTCATTATATAATGGTGAAGGCACAGTCCAACAAGAAGAGATAACAATTTTAAATATTATGCACCAACTTAGGTGCACCCAGATTCATAAAGCAAACCTTACTGGAGCTAGCAAATGATTAAAGCAACTCATAATCGCCGGAGATTTCACACACCCACTGACGGCACGAGACAGATGCTCCAACGAAATTAATAAGAAAATAATGGACTTACAACAAACTCTAGAACAATTGGGTCTGACAGACATCTACAGAACATTCTACCCAAAATCCACTGAATATACGTTCTTCTCATCAGCTCACGGGAATTCTCTAAGATTGACCAGTATCCTAGGACACAAAGAAATCTCAAGAAATTTAAAAAATAGAAATCATACCATGTACCTTCTCAGATCACAGTGGAATAATAGAAATCAACCCTAATGAACTCACATTTGCTACCAAAAACGTGGAAATTAAGCAAACCTCCTACTAAATGATTACTTCGTAAATGAAGAAATCAAGACGGAAATAAAAAGTTCTATGAAGAAAACGAAATGGACAGACAAGTTATCAACTCCTCTGGGCACAGCTAAAGCAGTTCTGAGGAAAGTTTATCTCCATAAATGCCTATAACCAAAGACAAAAAGATCACAAATAGACAATCTAATGAAACGACTCAAAGAGCTCGGAAAAAGAAGAACAGACCAACCCCAACCCAGGAAGAATGAAACAACAAGATCAAATCAGAACTAAACGAAATTGAAAACAGAAGCTATTCAGGAGATTAATAAAACAAAAAGTTGGTTCTTGAAAAATAAACAAATTAACACACATTGCTAAGTAACGAAAAGCATAAGAGAAATCTCTAATAAGCTCCATCAGGAATAAAAAAGGAGATATCACAACTGATCCCAAAGAGATACAAGTACATTTATGAATACTACAAAATCTTTATGCACACAAACTGGAAAATGTGGAGGAAATGGACAAATTTCTAGAAACACACAGCCTCCCTAGGCTCAACCAGGAAGAAATAGATTCCCTGAACAGACCAATCTCAACAGCTGAAATAGAACAGCAATTAAAATCTCCCTAAAAAGAAAAGTCCGGTCCAGATGGCTTCACACCTGAATTTTACACACTTACAAAGAAGAACTAGTACCTATCTTGCAGAAACTATTCCACAACATCGAGAAGAACGGAACCTCCCCGACACCTTTTATGAGGCGAATATTTACTTGATACCAAACCAGGAAAGGATGCAACAAAAAAAGAAAACTACAGACCAATATCCCTAATGAATATAGATGCAAAATTTTTCAACAAAATCTTAGCTAACCGAATCCCGACACTTACCAAAAAAAATCACCACGACCAAGTGGGCTTCATCCCAGGGATGCAGGGATGGTTCAACTACGTAAATCGATAAATGCAATTCACACAAAACCAGAAGCAAAAACAAAGACCACAATTCTGTCAATAGATGCAGAAAAAGCTTTTGCAATTCAACACCCTTTCATGATACGAACACTTAAGAAAATAGGCTTGAAGGGACATACCTAAAAAATGGATACAAGCCATATATGACAGACCATAGCCACATCATACTGAATGGGAAAGATTGAAATCATTCCCACTTAGAACTAGAACCAGACAAGGCTGCCCACTATCTCCACTTCTGTTCAACATAGTGCTGGAAGTCTTGGCTACAGCAATCAGACAGAAAATGGATCAAAGGTATCCCAATAGGGGCAGAAGAGATCAAACTTTCACTGTTTGCTGATGATATGATATTGTATCTAGAAAACCCAAAGTATTCAACCAAGAAACTCCTGGAACTGATCAATGAATTTAGTAAAGTCTCAGGATACAAAATCAATACACAGAAATCAGAAGCATTCATATACGCCAACAACAATCTAATTGAAAACCAAATCAAAGACTCAATTCCCTTCACAATAGCAACAAAGAATTAAATACCTAGGAATATATTTAACAAAGAGAGGTAAAACTCTACAGGAGAACTATGAAACACTGAGGAAGGAAATAGCAGAGGATGTAAACAGATGGAAATCCATACCATGCTCGTGGATCGGCAGACTCAATATCATCAAATGTCTATACTACCCAAACTGATCTACAGATTCAATGCAATCCTATTAAATCCATCAGCATTCTTCAGTTATATAGAAAATTTTTTGCTTCGTATGGACCAAAGAAGACCCCGAATATCAAGGCAATTCTAGGAACAAAAACAAAATGGGGGCATTAATATGCCAGATATCAAACTATACTACAAAGCTGTAGTAATTAAAACAATATGGTATTGCACAAAAACAGGATATTGACCAGTGGAACAGATGTGAGAATCTGATTATAACCATCCTCATATAGTCACTCATCTTTGACAAAAGCAGACAAAAACATACGCTGGGAAAAAGATCTCTCTTCAATAAATGGTGCTCGGAAAAACTGGATAGCACATGTAGAAGGCCTAAAAGGACCCACACCTTTCACCTCTCACAAAAACCAACTCACGCTGGATAACAGACTTAAACCTAAGATATGAAACTATTAGAACTTTAGGGGAAAAAGTTGGAAACACTCTCCTAGACATCGGCCTGGGCAAAGATTTTATGAAGAAGTCCCCAAAGGCAATCACAGCAGCAACAAAAAGAAATAAATGGGACATGATCAAACTACAAAGCTTCTGAACGCCAAGAGAATAGTCATGAAAGTAAACAGACAACCTACAGAATGGGAGAAAATTTTTGCATCTATGCATCCGATAAGGGACTGATAACTAGAATATACTTAGAACTCATGAAAATTAGGAGAAGAAAATCAAATAACCCATTAAAAAGTGGGCAAAGTACTTGAACAGAATTTTCTAAGAAGACAGAAGAATGGCCAACAAACATATGAAGAAATGCTCAACATCTCTAATCATCAGGGAAATGCAAATCAAAGGCACAATGAGATATCACTTAACCCTGAGAATGGCCTTTATCAAAAATCTCCAAACATAAATGCTGGCGTGGTTGCGGAGAGAGAGAGACACTCCTACCACTGCTGGTGGGAGCAAACTAGTTCAACCTCTGTGGAAGGCAATATGGAGATACCTTAAAGCGATACAAGTGAATCTACCATTTGATCCAGCAATCCATTGCTGGGCATCTACCAAATGATCCAGTGACACTCTACAAAAAGACACCTGCACTCGAATATTTATAGCAGCACAATTCATAATTGAAGGCTGTGGAAACAGCCCAAGTGCCATCAATCCAGAAATGGATTAATAAAATGTGGTATATGTATACCATGGAGTACTATTCAGCTCTAAGAAACAATGGTGATATAGCACATCTTATATTTTCCTGGTTAGAGCTGGAACCCATACTACTAAGTGAAGTATCCCAAGAATGGAAAAACAAGCACCAGAATATTCTCCAGCAAACTGTTATTAACTGAGTAGCACCTAAGTGGACACATAGTACTACAGTGAATAGGGTATTGGGCAGGTGGGATGGGGAGGGGGGCGGGTATATCATACATAATGAGTGAGATGTGCACCATCTGGGGGATGGTCATGATGGAGACTCAGACTTTTGGGGGCAGGGGGGAAATGGGCATTTATTGAAACCTTAAAATCTGTACCATAATATGCCAAAATAAAAAAAAAAAAAAAAAACCACAAGTGTCTTCCAAGAAGGGTAGAGTCAGTGAAAAGAAGCCTCCTGAGCTTTGCAGATCTTTGGGTGTGAGGAGTAGATAAGCCTTGAAGTTGAGCCACAGTTGGAAGTAGGGACCATGGAGATGAGTCATTCCACCAGCAAAGTAAAAAGAATAATGGTTAACTGGGACAGAAAGGCAGAGAAGGAAGATGGGCCCAGCAGAATGGTGTCCTGTGGCCAGCACAGTCAGCAAAAGAAGTCTTGCTAAGCTGTCTCTTTACTCTAATGCAACATCAGCTGCCTAGGAAGATCCCATTTTCAATATAGTTTGTTAACTCCACAAAGGCCTAGAAGGCGAGATGTTCGTAAGGATCACAGACAGGGCTGCGTGTTTAGTACGATCATGTATGCCATGGAAAGCACAAATATTAAGCGGGACTAAGAGTGTAACAGAGGTAAAGGTCAGAAAAAAGGCAAGGAAATGTTTTACAAGTTGTCTCTCTAAAACCCCTACCCATTTGGGGAATTAAAACCTGTATTCCTGCCCACGGCCAGTAATCAAAGGGGCAGAAAAAATGTTATTTGCTATTTCTTTTCTAGTATCTTAAACCACAGGAGATAGCTCAACAAAGTCACCCAGATAAGGGACACAAGATCACCAGGGTTGTGTAGCCCAACCACCGAAAACCCTTCTTTTAAACTTCCTGTATTTCTGCTCAGTCAGGATGATGGTCTTTTGGGATGCTGGTCTGCCGCTCTCCTCATTTGCTGACAAATTAATAAACTTCTCTTTCCTTTTCCTCAAAAAAAAAAATATATCCAACTGCTTTTTATGTGTCAGTTTTCAGGTATAGCCTCTTATATTCAATTTGAAAAATAGGAATGAATGCAAATAATGTCATAGAATGAACAAAATTCCTTCCTTCCAATCCTTTGCTTCTGTATAACATGGCCCCAATGCGTGAATTCTCATCATGCAATATATTCAACTGTTACGTTATGTAAACAAAAGAATAAATAATACAGTGCAGCCCCTCAAGACATTATCTCAACAGGCTGCCATTTGAGTGAGGTTTGTAATTTAAAGCACTTTTGATATCCTATCCAAGTGAAAGTCTCCTTCTATTTGTTCTCAGGATTGTCCCAGGTCTGCTTGTTCCCGTCACTCCCAAACATACTCCTAGAACACTTTTCTCCCTACTGACATGTCTATGTGTCCTTTGAGTATTTGTTCAAATTTAACCTATCAAACAATATAATGGTGCAGCAAAATCTTTAACCGTGAAGGAGGAAGAGGAAGAAGAGAAGGGCAAGGATGAGAAGGCCCCTTCATTTCTTTCACGGACTTAAGAAGCAGAAACACCAGCACTGTCTGAAAACCAAACTTTAAGAAAAAATAGGATTGGATTTATAAAACCTTTGAGCTTGGTATGGAACTCAGCTTATTTACTGACAATGTGCCCTATACTCAGGATTCAAATCCCTGTAACTCTTACCGATAAACTACATTGTTATGCCCCTGTCATCTAGGAGCTTTTGAACAAAAGTCATTTTAGGACACTATCAACCACTTTTTAGTAGTGATTAAAAATACATATGGGTAAGACTTCCAAGAAACAAGAGAAAACAATAGGAAAGAAAAAAAGCAGTGTATGTTTGTTTACAACCTTGAGTTTGATTCTTGTTCTGTTACTAAAGGAAAAAATGTCCTATTTCAGAGAAGAGGGGATGAGGGCAACCATGGATGCCCCACTAGAATTCAACCCATGTGGAGGTTGAAAAAACTGGAGTGTGGGGAGTGGAGAGGTGAAGGAATATTAAGAGCCCCATGGGAGACAAACTATCTTTTCCTCCAGTCTCCTCCACCTGGCTCAGAGGGCTGCCTCAACTCCATCCCAGAAACACATTGAAGCCAAATAGAAAAAAATAGTCTTGACCTCAGCACACACACAGGAAAGAGAACAGCACAGCTTCTCTAGTGTGGCCTATGTTGTTCACATGCTGTCATGGCGCCGGCGGTGCAGGGACAGGTGGTCAGAGCGAGAAAAGCTGCGGTTGCAGTCTCTACACCGGAAGGGCTTAATGCCCGTGTGCTTGCGAAAATGGCGGGTGAGCTCATCTGAGCGAGCGAATTTCCAGGAGCAGCCATCCCAGGTGCATTTATAAGGCTTCTCTCCTGAAAAAGGAATATGACAAAACAAAGAGAATTAGAGAGGAGATGCTTAGACACTAGAGAAAGAACAGAATAAGTAACTTTTATCAAGATTTTAATAAAAAATGAGGCAATCACTTTGAAGACATGCTCTCATTCACATTTTTAATTACTGAATTGACAAATATTGTATATATTTTTAGTATACAACATGATTTGAAATATGTGTATATTGTGGAATGGCTAATTTGAGCTAATTAGCATACTTATTACTTCATATACTTACTTTTTGTGGTGTGAACACTTAAAATCTACTCTTAGCAATTTTCAAGAATACAATACATATTCTATAAATAATTTTACAGAAATCCAAAAGTAAGGCTGAGATGGTAAAGTGGAAAACACAGAGGTTCTGGTTCAAACATGCCTTTGTTTGATCCAGGCTCTATTACATACAAGCTGTGTATCTTAAATAATCACTTCTCCCTGACTATGTCCCTGTTTTCTCATCTCTAAAGGAAGATAAAAATGTATCACAGAATTATTCAAAACATTTTCTTTTAAAATGATCTCTTGTAAGCAATAAAAATGGGATCTAAACCCTTCGTCTTTAACACTTTCCACTGTGTTGGTTCCAGGTGTGTAACCACACCTTCCCCTCTAATACCTCCCACCAAATAGTCTAAAGTAGAGCCATACACACAGAATAAATGTGTAATTCAATGGAAAGGGCCCTCAGCTAAGGCTGTAGACCTTTTTCTGTGTAAGCTCAGAAGCTCAAGGGCATAGAATCACATGGGAAGGGGTGTCAGGTCAAGCTTTTTCAAACAGTTCCATGCTCAGAATCTTCAGGTTGCATCTGAGTTATATATGGGATATGTATGCTTAGGATAGCAAGCTAAATGGAAAAAAGCAGTATAAAATACATTAACACAGTATGATCCCATTATGATGTATAGAATACATATTTCACATACTACACATTTGTGTACTCAGAATAAAGGCAATATCAGTACACTTAAATGTAAATTATCAGAGAAATCATTAACAGTGACTGATTATCTGGAAAGTACAGATAAGGGATGTTAGGAAGAGGATTGTTTTTGCTTTACACGTATTTTTACTGTTTGAATGCTTTAAAATTCATGATGTATCTTATAATAAAATTTTAAAAAAGAAAGAAGCTCTATAAGCAAAAATAAATATCAACTGTGAGTAAGTGTGGGTACTAGGATTAGGGTAATGTTTGCTTTCTTTTTAATATAGAATTTCTCTATTTCCCATCTTCTGCAATGAGAATGTATTATTTTATAGTCAGAAAACAAGCAATAATGCAGACACAAAATGCACTGGTATTCTAAAGGTCTCTTTTACTCTGGCTCTATTTCCCCTTTCCTGCTTATAAGTTATCTAGGGCATTCAATTTTATACTGTTCTAAATTCTGGTGGCAAGCTGGTTTGCATATATTGTTTTTCAACTTACTACATGCCCCCCACCAACACTCCCACATGTTTGTTAATTAACTGTACAGCATTCAGATAATGGAAAACAGGATAGAATCCAGTCTGAATCACAGCTTTGGACCATATTCAGTCAACCATTTTTAAGATTAAAGATGTAAATTACTGATCATTTCAATATTCAGAAATTGCTACATTAGCTGCTAAGAATGAGATAAAGTTGGATGTATGGAGACCAAAAATAGCTGATGAAATGTTATTGAAGGAGCTCAGGAAATTGCATTCCAAAATGACTCTTTGGTATAAAGAGTATTTTGAATTAAAGGTTCTTAGATATTAACAGGCCCTTGGAAAAGGCTCACCCTCTATCTGCATAAACCAGACTGACCTGATCAAAAGATCAAGGGGGCAATTGACTTCCCTTCTTCTCCCTGTTATCTCAACAACTTGCAGGAAATAAGACCAAGAATGCAACCAGACCTGGCTCAAATTATTTGAAACATAATACCTATCTCTCAGGTTAATTACAATTCAATATCTTTCTCCCATCCATTTGTCCTCCCTAACACCATTTGTCACCCCTAAACAGTGTTACCTTCACTCCTCATTTTCCCTCCCTTTGAAAAAGATAGGTATAAAAATCTCTGAAATTCATTGGGATATTGGGTAACCACTTTGTGATTCTACCCATGTACATGGTAAATAAAACTTTCTCTTATTAATGTGTCTTAATTATGAGTTGATCTTTCAGCAAACTTGTTTTCCATCACCACTACATTATCAAATGAAAAGAGAAAGCTACTGAACAACTAAACACACACACACACACACACACACACACACACATACACACACACACACACATACACACACACACACATGCACACACTGTGTAGGATCACATTTATGTTTTCTATCCCTTCTCTCTCTCTCTCTCTCTCTCTCTCTCTCTCTCACACACACACACACACACACACACACCAAACAAAGAGAAAAGATCTAGAAGGCTGCAGAGTAAATTATTAAGTGGGAAGGAGCATGATATTTCAGAGGGTGTTGAGAGTGTGTAAATAGAATTTTCACTTTTTGTTATATATAATTCTATATATATCCATATATCCATACCTAACAACTGCAACATTGTTATCTATACATTTTGTTGTGATCTCTCAAGAATTTGTCCCAAGATTTCTTATCTTCACTATACCCAAATGAAGGAAATTTGACAATTTGTGGTAATTAGGGCTCATTGCTAGAACACACAAATTATTGTACAGGAATTCAGCAACAAGCCCATTTTCCTATTTGAAAAGCAGTTACCTTGTATTATCATTGACCAAGTTTTTGTTTGTGCCAATAAATGTCATATGACACAACTCATGACTCTCACCAACTTATCATTTAAATTGAAGAACAAAACATAGCATACATACAAAAAAAGTCATAATATAAAGTATACATATTAACTATATGACAAAGATAATAAGTCTGATATAAGTTCCAAGGCTAGATAATAATCTCTGAGCTAGTGTGATAATATTGAAGTGGAGGCATGTGTAGGTTTTAGATGGATGGAGTAGAAGGCAAAAAAGGTAGGGGCAAGGTCTAATAAGGCAGTGCAATGACTCACACATAGGATTAGCTATCCTGGAGTACAAGGCATCTTTACAGGAGTATTATGAGATGATCCCAATTATAAAAGCCAGACTAAAAACTTTGAATTGTAAAAAAGCAGAGAATTTGAACTTAAGCATGAAAGGCAGTAATATAGTAAAGGGGGGAGGGGCGTTGGGAGTAGTCTGTTCTAGGTGCAGGCAATAATGGGGAGGCATTGAAAATAGAAAATTTTAAAATAATGAAAAAACAGTGTAAGAGTTAGTCTGTTTTTAATATCAAAATGTGCTTATTTTTTGACATTTTGGTTACATTGTATATCTTTGTCTCTCCCTAAAAAAGAAAAAAAACTTTTTATCAGGTGGTGGGCAGGTGGGAGGGGGGAGGAGGAGAAGGATATATACTTACATAATATGTGTGGTGCGCACCACCAGGGGATTGGACACGCTTCAATCTCTGGCACACTGGGAGGAGAGAGGGGGCAGGGGCAATATCTGTAACCCTAACAATGTTTGTACCCCCATAATATGATGAAATAAAAGGAAGAATAAAAAAAGAATAATTAATACCTACATGTACTATGTACTTAGTGTGAATCAGCTCCTAATGCTAAGTGAATATGTGCAACAGTGTAAGAGGCCAAACCTCAGTAACCCTGGAGTTTTCAGGACCCTAACTCTCAACACCTCTGTAGCTTCCAGGGGAAACCTGATGAGAGACCTAAGCAATGAAAACAAAGCTTGGTTCCTGGTCATTTCACTCAGTGTTTGAAATGGAATAAAAACAATGAAAGAACAAAAACATGTGCTAATTTTAAATCATGTCAATGATAAAACACTCCTCTCTGCCAGGACAGACGGCTCTCACCACACTCTGCCTCTGAGTACACCACTTCACAAAAGCAATGGGGTATGTGCTTTTTTGAGTTAAAAAGAATGAAGACTTTTAAACTCAAAAGTGATTTGGGGTGGTGGAGAAAGATGGTGGATGAGAAACACCCCCAGACAGAGTATCTCTGCAAAAAAGACAGATTCTAGAAGAAATTAGAAGAAAGAAGCAAGCAGAGGAGCATACATCAGACGAGGGTTGGAAAGAGGGGTACTTGAGACTACAGGAGATTCCATGGCAAGAGGTTATGAAGGAGAACTGGAAGAAGAGACATCCCGAGAATCCTGAAGACCAGCATCAAGGGTAGGTGGATTGATTACCTTTCCTCTTCCATGCAACTCGGACTGCTGGCAGGCTCCCCAGTTGGTGGAGAGAGCTGCGAAAACCAGCCCAGAGACGGACACAGCCAGTGAGCAGTAAGCCTTTAGCATATACAGCACCAGGCACCCAACTCCCTTGGGGCACCTCCGTGTACACTGACCCAAGCTGCGTGGCAGGTGCCATATTGCTTCATTCTCCCCTCCCCCTTCCCTATACACAGCTGCCGAGAGAGACAATATAGCCACCAGCCAGAGGCATCTCCAGGGAATGGGACCCTCCCTTTTGGGGCCCTTCAGCTGACTGAGGGGTACTCAGAGGCAAGATCCCTACCTGACAGCCCTCCCAGGTGCTGCTGGCCAGTGATTCCAGGAGAACAGGGATGGCTCTGAAGCTGAGAGACATTGACCCAGATTTGGCTCCCCGTGGGTGAATTAGCACTCCTCTCCCTGGTGGGGTCAGGGATTGAATCCTGGGGCCCAGAGGTCAGACCTGGGGACCAGATCCCGGGCACTCAGATCTCTCATTGCCCAGGGCACAGAAGGGATATTCCTGAATGAGTGTACAAAGGTATGTGTGCCTTCAGGGCCATATCAGTGTGCTTGAGGGCAACCCTCCTGCCAAGGGGGGACCGTGTGCCCAGTGAGGCAGTGATTCTGTGTAGGGAATCTCTACACCTGCATCACAGCCAGGAGAGATCCAGTGGCATGAGGTCTGACCAGCTGGCAGAGGCCCAGGAGAAG